ACAGTCTCTGGCTCTGCTTTCCATGAGTAAAGAAGCAAGTATGTGGTTTCCCTCACCCCTTCTTCACACAGGCCATTGGGGACCTAGCAGCTCCAGCCATCCCCTATCATGTTACAGCCCTAGACATGGCTTTCAGTGCCTCTGTTGTCTAGGCATATTCTCTTTTAGCATTAACACAGCGAGGAGGAGTTCCAGATCCAAGGAAGCTATGTGACTAGCTTCTTCTCAGACTACAGAAGAGTCTGTCTGCTGGCCCCTTGCCCCCGCCTCCTATGTTGGTCAACAGGAGAGCTTCAGCTCTGCGGAGGAGGGAAGGAGTGGGAGTTGGGGTTGTGAGGGAAAGCAGCACATGCAGCTGACCAGTTGCTCGGAAATGCTGGCTAAGGACACAGCATCCCCACCTAACTGGAATTCTGGGATGGATTCCAGGATGGCCTGGTTTTCTGGGCCAGTAGAGCCATAGTCAGAAATGCATGACAGGCACCGGGGTAGGAATTATAGTTTCCTAAGTTCACCATTCTATCTCTAGAACTGTGTATGCCATGTAGTTCACCTGTGACAAATACTGGATGAGTAAATAAAGGAATGAAAAAATGCTTTCACACATAAGCATGACCTCATTCAATCTGTAAACTGAAGCACAGGCAGGGCAGGTGTTGTCCCCTTCTGCAGATGGGGAAGTCAACTAAAGAGAGTTTAATATCTCACCAAGTTCTTCCACTTGGATGTGGCAAGCCTCCGTGCACTGTGGCTAGACACTCTGCTCTTTATATTAGCAGAAGGCTGAACATTCTTGGTATAGCAACCCAGGAATGCATCCTGTGACTCATTGTGAACTTCCCTTTCGGTCCGGCTAGTGAGAAAATAGCCCTGCAGGGGCCCAATTTCCTGGACACAGCCTCAGTGTCATGCTTGGACATCCTGGGTTTGCTTGCACACCTGGCATGAGCAGCTTTTGTAAAGGCACCCCTCTTTTAGTCTCTGTTGCCACCTCTAATTCAGGAGGTCTGGACTCATGAGACACAGAGGCAGGACTGGTGGTTTACTCCAGGGGTTAGAAATAGGGTGGAATCACACAATTAGTTCCTTGTGTCATTCACTTGATAAAAGTTCAGATGGTTTAAGACACCAAACGAGTTCCTCTTCTGACAAGCAAGCAACTCATATTACAGAGCTCAAAGACTAAGGAGTATTTCTAGGAGTGTTTTTGGTCTCTAAGGCCAACAGGAGGGCTCCCCTGCACTGGAACATGTATCTTGTATCATATGGCCCACTGTTCACAGCACCCTTTCTTGTATCCCCCTCATAAGGAGGCCCTGAGGGGGCTTCCCTGGTGGTTCAGGGGTTAAAGACTCAGCTCTATCCTATTGCCAGTCACTGTGACAAGAGTTCCATCCCTGGCCAGGGAGCAAACCCACATTGGGCAGCAAACCTCTTCTGTCTCTTTTTTTGCTCCCTTTAGAGTGTATTTCAGTAGATCTGTCTATTCCACTGCCCTCTCGGTCACTGGTGAATCCTCTCACACACATGCATCCCTGCTCTTCTGACCTACACCCCAGTTCTTCTATTTATAAGTAAATAAAAATAAATCATAAAAAAGAGAGGTCATGACAGAGCATGGGAACCAGGATCAGAACACCTGGTTTCTAATGCTGACTCTGACATTCATGCACTATGTATCTTCTCCTCACCTCTTCCACAACTGCAAAATAGATATAACAATTCCCAGCTACAGTTGTGAGTTTAAAGAAGAATGGCTTAGGGGCCCTCCCTGGTGGCACAAAGGGTTAAAGCGCAGCACTGTGAAGCTCTCTGCAGCCACCTTAGTACTAGCTCAATGCCTGGCCAGGGAGGTGACCCACATGGGAACTAACATAAGACACAGGAGAGGTCTGCTGCTAGCTCCCTGGTCAGGGATGGAGCTCTTATCATGTAGGTCACCCACATGACCCTCTCCTGTCTTGCCTGATGCTCCCCTCCCCTCAGCAGTGTATTTCAGTTACTCTGTCTGTTGTGCTCCCTACTCTCTCACCTCCACACCTCCGGCCTATACACCAGTTCTTATATGCATAAATAAATAAATCTTTTTTTAAAAAAGATTAGCATAAGAGGAAAACAATGTCAATATTATCTTTTGTGACAAGAAAAAAAAAAAAAAGACAGAGAGGAGGGAATCTTCCAGGGTCTCCGAAATTTCCCACTTGTTCACAGATTCAATAATAATAAAGTGAGGAAGGCATGTACTACATGCTAAGGGAGAGACAAAGTTGTAGTCTTTGCCCTAAAAGAACTTGAAGGGTAGAATGGTCTGCACCTCAAAAGATGGTCAGATATTTCAGGGAGTGTCGAAGATCACAGAGTGGAAAAGAAGTTGTGTGGAAGATTGGAGGAGCTAGGATTGTTCAACCAGGTAAAGAGGCAATAGGGGGAGGGGAGAGCTAAAGGGGTGTCATGCTGCATAACGGTCTCCCAGCCTCTTTGTCCAGGAGGAAATGAGCTCATCTCGCTCTCAAGAACCAGCATGACAGCCCCCAGCCAAGTAATATGGAGTCATGAGGATTCAAGAAGGTTCTGTGAATCACAACAGCTAGTTGGGAATTTCCTGATAACTAACAGGAGTTTCGGTTAAGTCCTCACGCTGCAAAATCTGTTTACATACTGATCACGTTTATTTACAGTTAATGTATTCTCAAACCCAAACAAAACATGCCTCAGTCTTTTGGAGGAAGTAGTGAGGTCTGTCTCATACCTATAGTACCTCTGACTCAGTCCTTTTCCTGGGAGGCTGGCAGCTGGACCCAGTACAGAAACCTGCTCTGGAGGCTGATGGGTCATTTGTCTCTCCAGAGCTGGACGGTTAACTGGCACTTTCCCCAGCCAGAGGTTGACACCCTGAAACCTCTGCCTGGTGCAATGCAAAGAGGCCTTCTCCTTTTTTTTCCCCCCATGTCTTGGCCTTCTTTGAGCCCTTTCCCTATTCCTCTTCAGTGGGCCCAAGCCCAACTCTAGCTTTGTCAGATAGCAAAATGTTATAGGCCAGCAGGGCTTACTTAGCCTTTAGTTACAGGGAATCAGTCCCCCCCAGTCTCAGGAAAGGAAGACAGTCCTGCCGATTGGTATCCAAGTGACCCCAAGCCCTGGTTCCCACACTAGGAGAAAGGAACAAGGGTGACGAGACCTCAGAATCTCTGTTGTGCTTCTTCAGTTGTGCCAGAAGGATTTTTGTGTGCAAGTATGTGCAGTGCCTGTGCATGAACACACATGTATATGTTAACTTTCAGGTAGAAAAGGAGGCTAAAGTTGTTTCTAGAGGCCAATCTTATTTGATGAACAACATTGCTGCAACTTACCTTATTAGAAACAAGGCTGAACGATGAGATGGAATACTAGATATATGCATTTAAAAAATTACAATGGGGGCCTCCCTGGTGGTGTAAGAGGTTAAAGCACAGCATTCTGAAGCTGTCCACAGCCACTGCAGCAAGAGTTCAATCCCTGCCAGGGAGCTGATCCACACAGCACAGCAGACCTCTCCTAACCCACCCGTTGCTCCTCTCAGCAATATATTTCAGTCTGTTCTGCTCTGTCTCTGGTGAATCCTCTCACTCCCACCCCTGACCCCTCTGGTTTGTATCTCAGTTCTTATAAGCATAAATAAATACATCTTTTAAAAAGATTTGTAACCATCCATCTTTTTGGAATGGGGGACATAGGATGTGTTTTCAAAAATTCAAGTAGTATAAAAAGGCATAGAGTGAAAAATAATCTTCTCATTTTTGTCTTTCACTTCCCCAGTTCCTCTCTTCAAAGGAAAAACTAGAACTTCCTAAACTCCCACCATTAATATTCTTTACTAATTGACTTACTGATTAATAAGGGATTATTAGGCCATTGGTTTTATTGGCTCTGTACTCTGGCTGAGCCAAATAACTGGATTGCTCCTAACAGGAAGGTTGGGGGGTGACCAAAGATTTATTGACAAGGACTGAATTATGGTGGTAAAGAATTGAGCCTTGCATCCAAGCTTGATAAAGTGGTGATAAACTGACCTTGCATCCAGGATGGGAGTAGCTGAAGGTGACAGTGAACTGGGCCTCACATCAAAGGACACAGCGATGAGTCACCCCTTTGGAATCTGAGTTTAGAATCTATATAAGAGACCCTTCCCCCTTATTGAGTGGGCAGTAGCTGCGGACCCCAGCCTAAGGGCTCTGTCTCAGCTGCTGTCCGGGAGCAATAAACTCTGCTTGCTCAGCCTTTCTGCCTCTCGCCTTCCTTTCTTGCCTCCTGTCACAGAAGTTGGGACAAAACAATGAACTTCCTGAAGGTCCCACCGGCACTTCAATGGAAAAGGCACACCAGTCTGTGCTCTAGGTCTTGTGCTCACAATCCTACTATAGTATAATACAACTGCAAAGTTTCAGTAATATCGACTTTGCCTTTCTGCCCCTAGGCATATCAAATTCCCTAATGAAGTACATAATACACTCAGCTCTGTCTTTTCTGCTGGTTGTGTTGATGATATTTGGGGAGTCTGTCAGTCCGCAGAGGCAGCCCCTGTCAGTAGGTCTTTTGTCTGTGTTTTAGCTGGAGTGTCCCATACCTTTTCATGTTAAGGAGACAGCAAGTTATGCGGGCTGCAGACTACCTTCCTACACACAGGGGTCTGATCCAGCTCGAACAGTCCCAGAAGAACTAACAAGCATGAGGGTTGGACAGGCTAGAGTCTCCATTTTGCAATTGCGGGCACCCTGCCCTGGGGCTGGGCCGAGGCCCGGTGAATGCCAGGTGGGGGGCAGCAAACTTAGATGCCTTTCGACGTCGTTCGTTTCTGCCCCTGAGAACCCAGCTGCCCCCTCAGTCATGCATGAGGAAGCACGAGGTCAAGGGAGGGGAAGGGAAGGCGTGCACCCGGCAATCCAGGCTGGGGCGGAGCCTGCTCAGGGCGGATCCTAATATAGAGTCCGTACTGCCGACTAGCAGCACTGCAAGAAGACTGGAGCCGCAGAGCTCGGTGCAGAGTCGGAGAGGCAACCGGCCCTAACCAAACCCGCCCTGCGTGGTCCTTCGCGCCGCCGCCACCGGTAAGTGCAGTGCGCAGGGCAAATGCGCCCTTGTCGCGGCTCCGGAGGCTTTCCCTTAGCCCTGCCCTGCTCTGGGAGTCAATGTTCCGTGCGCCATTGTGTCCCACTGAGGGTGCCAGTCTAAACTGTGCGGGGAACCCAGGGACCCAAAGAGAAGAGACGACCTGGCCTGATCTCGCGCGCTCACCCTGCAAAGAGACCTCGGACATCTAGTTCTGACTGCAGTAATCCCACCCAACGGATCTTTTTGCTCCTCCACTTCGATCCCTGATAACTCCTTCTCTTGCAGAGAGGAAGCCTAGGGCTACCGCCTCGCCAACATGAGAGTTCAACTGGCATGCCTGCTTCTCTGCACCCTGGTAGTGAGCGACTCCGAAGTGAGTTGGCTTCTCTGCTTTGATTTAAGGGGGCAGGATGAGGCTTGCAGGACCGGTCACCAGGGAAGGCAGAAACTGCAAGGGAGCTGGAGTCTTCTCCCTTTCATCTACCGCAGGCATCCGGACCCTTTTCCCTAACCAGGGAAATAGGGGGCTACCTGCTGGTAGCTGATAGGTGAAGCTTGTTTGAGTCAAAATATTTCTTGAACACCCATTTGAGGGCTGGTTAGGGATGAACAAGGAGAGAAGTGTAGCTGGAGGGAAGAATGCATTTGGAGGCTCAGTTTATCCTCACCCTGGAGTTCCAGGAGCATGAGACCATTGGTGACCTTCCTCTTTCCTCCCCATGTCTTCCAGGGAAGTCTTGAATTTCTTTCAGCGTCTGAGGCATGTGAGTATATCAACCCCTCGTATTCTCTCTGGCTGCATAAACATCTTGGAAAAGACTTGGGAGCACCCCAGGGTCTCTGCTGCAGGGCTGGCATCTCTCTTGCCCACTTCCACTGCTCCTTGCTTACCAACCTCTTTTGTGCTCTCCAGCAAACTGTGGCTGTCAGAATGGAGGGACATGTGTGCACTACAAGTACTTCTCCAACATTCATCGATGCAACTGTCCAAAGAGATTTGAAGGGGAACACTGTGAAATAGGTATGGGGGTCTGAACAATAACTACGGAGAACAGAACACCAGGACTCGGGGGCAAGGAGAGATGGGTGAGATGCAAGGACAGGCAGGAATTAGGAGATGATAGTAGAGTGGGACACACCCACCCACATGCGTGCACACCACACACACACAGTCTTATGTGAGGTAGGGATGAAAGGAGACCCTTTTAGTGTCTTCTAATAGATCTGAAAACACGGAAGACCTGACAATCTATAAAATGCCAATCTAGACTTTCTCCTCATTCTAATATTTTCTCATCCTCACATCCCTCCATAGATAGATCAAAAACCTGCTATCATGGCAATGGTCACTCTTACCGAGGAAAAGCTAACACCGACACCATTGGCCGGCCCTGCCTACACTGGAACTCTCCTGCTGTCCTTCTGAAAATGTACCATGCACACAGACCTGATGCTCTTGAGCTGGGTCTGGGGAAACACAATTACTGCAGGTGAGCTGGGGCAGCAAGAACCCTCCACATAGCCTCACAGAAATTCCTTTGCCATCCTTTCGTTCTGTTTTCAGAGTGCTGGCCACAGTATGAGAAAAGTGAAGCCTCTGATTGAGTCTGAAGGGCAGGACACAGGGGAGGCATTCTGGGTTAGAGTGACACCCTCTTTGTCTGTTTGCTAGGAACCCAAACAACCACAGATGGCCCTGGTGCTATGTGCAGGTTGGCCGACAACAGCACGTCCAAGAGTGTAAGGTGCACGACTGTTCTTTTGGTGAGTTCATGTTCTGTTTATGGGGGTGGTATGGTAGGTGACAAATTCACATGTCCTCTTATTCCAGCACAGGAGTCATGAGAAGGTCCTGAAGAATTGGGAGGTCGAGGAATTGGGAGGATACTCTCTAAGGTATCTTTCTCTTTCTTCTCCAGGAAAAGAGCTCCTCTCTCCTCCAGAAAAAGCAGCATTTCAGTGTGGCCAGAAGGCTCTGCGGCCCCGCTTTAAGATTATTGGGGGAGAATTCACCACCATCGAGAACCAGCCTTGGTTTGCAGCCATTTACAGGAAGCACCGTGGAGGCTCTGTCACTTATGTGTGTGGTGGCAGTCTCATCAGTCCTTGCTGGGTGGTCAGCGCCACACACTGCTTCATGTATGTCCTTCTGCTGCTTCTCCCTGACCCTCTTATCCTATCCTGAAAACATACCTTTCTCCTAACCAAGGAAGGCATCTATCTTAATTGTACTCCCTCAGCCCTTCTCCATGTGGTCCATGATCTTGGGGACGGGTCATTCTCTGAGGTCACTGTGGTGGGGAGGGGAAGTGACAAGATCTCATGAGATCAGACTGCCTGACAGGTCTCACCTTCCACAGCAATTACCAAAACAAGGCAGAGGACTACATCATCTACTTGGGTCGGTCAAAGATGAACTCTGTTACACCTGGGGAGATGAAGTTTGAGGTAGAACAACTCATCTTTCACGAGGACTACAGCTCTGACACACTTGCTCACCACAACGATATTGGTGAGTGGAAAACCTTCAAGAGCCATAATGACAATGACTGGGAGAAAAGGGTCTGAGAAGAGATCCAAGAGATCCAGCCTAAAGACCCTGTTTTACACAACAAAGGGACTGGTGGGAAGATTCAGAGTAAAAACATGAGGGACCTCTTGTCCCTCTGTTGAAGCCCTGAATGTCCCAGTTAACCTTCTCTGAAAATGGCCCTGTGGACACATAGATTCCTAGGGTGATGCTTCTTCCTTTGTTGGTTGTCCCTTTGTCTGCCCCTATACATAGAACTTGGCCAGTAGACCCCTGGGCTGGACTGTAGCCTAGCTACCTCAGCTGGGGCTTTATGCAGGCAAAACAAAACAAAAGAAAACAAAACATATAGACATGTGTAACGTTCTTTCCTGGCTGTCCAAGGTTTTGTCAGCAGCTGGAACAAAATCCTTGAAGCATAGGACAGAGGAGGCTTGCTTCAGGTGGCCCGCGGTCTTCTCAGTAAGACACTGACCAGGTAGTGACCTTTCTGTCCCTCCTCCCCTCTTCCAGCCTTGCTGAAGATCAGGACCAGCACCGGCCAATGTGCGCAGCCATCCCGGACCATACAGACCATCTGCCTGCCCCCAGTGTCCGGTGATGACCGTTTTGGCACAGACTGTGAGATTTCTGGCTTTGGAAAAGAGAATGTCTGTAAGTGACCTTTGGAGCTGGCTGAGAGGGTTCTGGGAGATTTGTGTAAACTGAAGATGAGTGCTGCTGATCAGGGGAAGACCGCAGACAAGAATGGGACACTGAACAGGCAGCACGTGGGTTTGGGACTGGAGTGGAGTGGAGAAAGTTGTTTAGAGAATGATGGGGCCATAAATGGGAATAAATGGGGGTGAGGGACTATAGATGGGGTAAAAGCTCAGTTTTGGGTGGAAAAAAAAGGACTTTCAAGGTAGGGGATACTTTGTGGTCCCCTCCCTATCAGAGAGTCCCACTGGGAAGACTGAACAGACACATTGTAACACAGACCTCTCCCTGTTTCCTCCATCTAGCTGACTATTTCTATCCTGAGCAGCTAAAAATGACTGTTGTGAAGTTGGTGTCCTATAGGGAGTGTCAGCAGCCCCACTATTATGGCTCTGAAGTCACCCACAAAATGTTATGTGCTGCAGACCCACAGTGGGAAACAGATTCCTGCCAGGTAAGAGTCTATAAGCATCACTCCAAGAATCTCTCCAGGGCTCCCTGTACCTTTTAGTTTTGGGGAACTTCTTTCTAAGCAAAGCCCAAAAGGCAAGAATCAGGAGTTTAGGTCTTTGAAAGTTTTAAAAAATTCTTATTTGTTTACCAAACATTTATCATGAGCCTAGCTTTTCGCTAGGCATTGCAGACTAGGGGAGGTAGGGGAAGAGACCATAAGAAAGAGGGAATAATGAAACTCAGTGCTCAGGGAGGGATCAGATGTTTAGGAGCAGGAGGTGAGTGCCAACTAGATGGTCATGCTGGGAAAGCTTTCAAGAGAAAGTAGAATCAAGAGGGATTTGAGGAGGCAGAGGGAGGAAAGAAGAGCATTTCAGTTGAAGGATACAAAAATGATAATGAGCATGGCATTTTGAGGATGTGGAGAAGAAGGGCCTAAGGGTTTAGCTGGAATGCTGGGAAGTACCAATCTTTGGGCACTAAGCAGAAGACTCTAAACTTATTATAGTAGGGAGTGGGGAGTCACTAAGGACTTTGACTCCAGGAAACCCTTCTCTCTTGGGCATCAGAGGACTAACCCCCCACCCCCTCACCGTCCTCATTTCTCCCAGGGCTTATCTTTTATGTCTTTGGTTCAACAGGGAGACTCCGGGGGTCCCCTGGTCTGCTCCATCAAAGGCCGCCTGACTCTAACTGGGATTGTGAGCTGGGGCAGTGGATGTGCCATGAAGAACAAGCCGGGTGTCTACACAAGGGTCTCACGTTTCCTGTCTTGGATCCGCTTTCACACCGGAGAAGAGAATGGCCTAACCCGCTGAGGGCTCCCAGAAAATCAAGGGAGGAAATGGGGTCCACCCACTTCCATGATGACAGTCATTTGGACAGTAGGGCCATCTCTGCTAGGTATATGTAAGGGAGAGACTGCAGAACATAGTCTGCAGAGGTGGTTTTGTTTGTTCTACCCAATGGGTGAGCACTAGCTTTACTCTCAGATACAGGCCTGGGTGCTGGTTGCCCAGGCCCCTTCTGGCCAGGATGGAGGGGTGGTCCTGATCCAGGATAGTGTAGACCATTAGTCTTTTCTAGACTAAAGCCTCCTGGAGTTTAAAAAAAAAAAATGGCCTCTCCTGTGCATGGGTGGAAGGAGTGGGCATTTATGAGGCCTACTATTGAGAAATGAATCATTTCCCAATAAGGAAGTGTAACAGAACTGAGGTCTCTTAAAGGAGCTTGGCCAATGTAGGAACAGTGGTTTGGGTAGTAAAGATAATAATGATTTGAGGGAAGAACTCTGACATTCCATGAATGTATCAAGAAATATATGTTTGTGTATGTTTATACACTTGTGCATGGACTGTGTCAGTGGAAGAGCTGGTGTGTTCCTGTGTCTGACTGCAAGTCTCGAGATTCCCCTAAACGGTGTGGAGTGGAATACCACATAGAAGCGTTTGTTTGGAGAGGTCTTGGGTCACTCCTAGAGTCTCGTGGTCTCCTGGGTCTCCCATGTGATGGTGCCTAAGAATGTATCATTCTGGGGCACAGCCTGTGACCAGCACTAAATGTCTATTTCACTTTCATATAGATGTCCCTTGGCCAATTATACCTTCTGACCTACCAGCCTTGTTCATCCAATTCTTCACTGAGTGAATGAGGACCACTCCTGTACACTGAATATTTATAATTATATTCTGCTATTTTTATTTATATCTATTTTTATAATTTTGAATAAAGATGATCAATAAAATGTGATTTTTCTGAAGAACTTGGCTGGTGTTTATATGGAATGGAGTTGGGGAACATACAAGTATAAAAGTACAATGGTGATGTACCCCAGAGTATCTGTGGGGCTGTATCTCTGTACTTAATGGGGCTAGGACTTAAATGAGGCTATGAGAATTTTAGTGCCAGCCTCCACAGTGCGTAAGACATAAAGGCATACCCCAAGTCAGGGGCTCACAGTGTGGTAAATGGTACACAGATTGGCTCTCAACCCCCCATTCCCTCCTCAGCATAATGTCTTTGTGCAGTACACATTTTGCACAACTGTACACAAAATTAGTCCCTGTGGAGGGACCAATATATAGTCCCAGCATATTCTCTGACCCCAACAAGGCTTAGGCAGTTGAACCCCAGCCTACCTTGTGTCTGTGGTCATTCAAGAAACAGAAAACATAATCTCTCCCATTATCTGGGCTTGGGGCTGGCATTAATGTTAAGGGAGTATGTTAATGAAGCCCAGGATTAGCCATTGCTTTCCTTATAACAAGGGCTCATAATCTAAAGCTAGGCAATGTCCTAAAGGGGTGGGAGTTGGTGACCATATATCTTGAAACAAAGATGAGTTTTTGAAAAACTGGAACTTGGGGGGCAGACTGGGAGACATAGTTGAATGCCAAATTATTGAAATTTCCAAGCCATGTCAATGGTTTAGGCAGTGTTTCTAAGCCATCTGAGACTTTAACAAATAGGTATATGCTCCACCCACAGACATTGTGATTCAGGTTAGGGCTGGTGCCAGGGCTTGTGATGTTAGACAGTCTCCCCAAGTATTTCGGCAAGCACCCCTGAGAGAGCCAATGGGAGAGACTGACCAGAATTTGTGGAGGGCCCAGAAAATTGAAGAAGTGGCTAGTATGTATTCTCTGCATGAACAGTTTTCTGAGTGGGTTTGGAGGTGCAAGATCCTCTAGTCTCACTCTTCAGAGGTTTCCTCAATGGTAGACCCCTGGTGGGTCATGACTCAGAGTATTCAGTTTTCAATACCTATGTCTAGCATGGCTTACACTGTATGACATACTAGTTCAGAGCATGGGTTTGGAAGTCAGGTGGCCTGGACAGATTCTTAGCTTTAATGCTAGCTGGGTGACTTGGGAAAGACTCTTACCCTCTCTATGGCTCAGTTTCTTCTCCTATAAAAAGGACATTGTTAAAAGGACTCATGACTTTATAAATCTCTTAGCATAATCTTGGCACCTAGTAAAGGCACAAAACAAAAATAAATGATGGTTATGATTACAAAAACTATGTAAATTCTTGTAGAGTTGAAGGGGACCCTCTTCCCCTCTCCTACCCCAAGAGCTCACTGGTGTGTCTTGTGGGAGCTAAACCTGCTGGGAAAGAAAAGGCATGATTTGAACTTAAGGGGCCTGGCCCAGGCTGAGTTACTACTCAGTCTCTGCATTTCCCTCCAGGGGCCAAGATCTTGTTCCAACAAGAGCTGCACTAGTCAGGGCTCAGAGACTCTGAAAACAGGAAGTATGAGCCCCATCTGCAGGATTGAGCAATGGCGCTGCTAACTCTCTTTAGACCATTTCCCAGCTGCCGCCCAGAGCCCCCACTGACTTGTCTCTTCCCTGAATCCTCTACGTTGTCAGGACTGACAGCAAGTACTTTTCCAGTCACTGGTTTCTTGACTACAGATCCTACCATTTCACTCACACGGGGGTTGCCTTCTTCCAGTGCTCACCAAAGCCCAGGTACTGTGCTGAGTTCTTCACATATTATCTTCACAACAATCTTGAGAGCAAGGTGGATTCATTAGCCCCATTTCACAGCAAAGAAAAATAGATGCATAGAGAGATTGGGAGATTTGCCCAAGGCACTGAAACCAGTAAGTGGCAGAGCTGGGGTTCAAATCCAGGCAGCTGGCTCCAGAGTGACTGGCCCTGGAATCTGACCTATCACCCCCCTGGCAGGACCCAATCTGGAGAAAAACAGTCTTTCAAGTTCCTTCTTCAGGGATGTGGGATTTCCAAGCTGAGTATATCAGAATTTCAGCCTCGGTCCAGATTATAATTCTTTCCTCTTAAAGCATTCCCAGGCCAGGCGCAGAGAACATACTGTTACCAGTTTCAAAGTAAAACTTCACCATTCTCAAGCCAACATCAACCTTTTCCGCTGAAATCTGGTTTCATTAAAATGGTTTCCGTTTTCACCAGAGCCCCTCCTTCTGAAATATTCTGTGGTCCATTCTATTATCAGGTCTCAATATGACTTCCACTTCCACTCTGCCTTTCCCAAGTCAGCACCCTGCAATCATAGGTCCCTCCACCCCCTCCCCCTTTCTCCCTGGCGGCAAACATTTGTGTCTTCCCTTTGAAGTGGACACAGTGAGAAGAGCTGGGAGACTTTTTTTTTTTTTAAATAACAGTACTATTGAGACATAATTCACATGTCACACAGATCACCCATTTAAAGTGTTTAAGTCATGTATTTAGTATATTCATAGTATTGTGTAACTACCACCACAATCAATTTCAGAATATTTTCATAACCTCAAACAGAAACCCTTTACCCATTAGCTATCACTTTTCTTTTCTCTGCAATCTCCTCAGCTTTTAAATTCTGTTTCTATAAGTTTGCCAACTCTGGATATTTTGTATGAATAGAATCATGTAATACATGGTCTTTTGTGACTAACTGTTAACACTTGATAATAATGATTCCATTTCATCCATGTAAGGGTATGTGTCAGTACTGTTGTTGAATGTCAAACAGCAAATTGAGAGGAAAGATACTCTTAACCTCCTTCTGTCCTTGCAGTGCCATTGGTAGTCAATCAACAACCTCAAAAACTTTAATTATTAACTTTTTGGTTAGGTACCTAGACACCATTCATTGTTTTAGTGGCTGGGAAAACAAGAATGAATGGGACATAGTGCTAGTCCTCAGAGAGCTCACAACTTTATACAGGAGACCAAAATAAGATCACAATTCCATATAAAAAATGTTATAATAAAAGTATGGGCAAAATACATGGAACAATGACAAGGAAGTAATTAATTCTGCCTACAAAGTCAAGGAAGACTTTACAGAGGAGGCAATAGCTGGGCCTTCAAGCATGCAAAGAAATTTGCCAAACGAGGAGAAAGGCATTCGAGGCAAAGGGGAAAATCCTGAGCATGAGAAGGGAGTTCTTTAGAAATGATAAATAAACAGCTATGGCAGAGAAGAGTTTGGTGGGGCAATGAGCAGACAGAGAGTAATGAGGGAGGAAACTGGTGCACTCCAGCTGGTAAGGACACTTAGGCAGGGCTGGTACTCAGCAGCAGGCACTACTCCTGCTCAATCACTGAATAGTTGCTGTTTAGTGTCTGAAGTCCCCTCCACATGGTCCCAGTCACCATCTCTCCACATCTTCACCAGACAGCAACCACATGGCTAAAGCCTGGCACAGCAGGGACCTCAGCCACACCTCCCTCTCCAGCTGCCATCAAAGTAAGCCCAGCTAGTTAATACTTAATAATATCACCTCTTGCTTGCAGGTACTATTTTTCAAAATCTTGAAAGCTAATTAAGGTCAAAGTCTTTTCCCCCTTAACTGAAATTATCTACCCAGTTATAAAGTAACTATAAAAGTAAAATGTTTCCATGACATTCCACAGTTACCTGTTTACCTCTCTGGCTTCTTAGGTCTCCTTTAGAAATTCAATCTCCTCTACTTGGCCCCCAACATTGGTTTCCCCAAGACCTCCCCTTACCACCCTAGACTTTTTCCCATGCAGTCTCATTCATACCCAGGCTTAAATTTTCACCCATCAGTTGTGACTAATAAACTCTTACTTGATGCCATACCTCTGCTAAAGCCTAGATCCTTATTTTTCATCGTCTACTTGACACTCCCTTTTGGTTGTCACATGTAGGGCACCCCATGCTCAACCTGCCCAAACCTGATGGACTGCTCCATACTCTTTGTTTCAGATGATGGCACCATATCCATTTACATCCAGAAACTTGGGAGTCATCCTCATCCTGATCCTTCTTTCTCCTCACCTCCCTCATCCCATCCATTACCAAATCCTGGCAATTTACTTAGTATCTTTTGAAGAAATTCATTTCTCCCCATCTCCCCATTTTCACTACCACCTTGAGTGGAGCCCATGTCACAATCAACTCTCCAGGACTACATCCACTGGCTTCCCTCAGTGGTTTTTTCTCCCCTTCACTCCTCCCATACTCCCCCATCAATTCTCTGCTCCCCTGGATTGAGAAATATTTTGAAAATGCAAACGCACTTAATGAATCCCCTTGCTCAGGTTGGCTAGCCTGGGGGCTGGGGGGGGTGGGGAGGGCCGGGTCCTTACTTCCTCTCTAGCTCCACATGGGCCCTACTCTCCTGGTCTTGCCTTACTCAGCCATTCACCCTGGACTCCCTCTGTGATCACAGGGCCACATCTTGTGTTGTTTCTTTCACCTGGGGCTTTTCTTTGTGTTTTTCTTTTGACTTGTAAGTTCTTCCTTGGACTGCAAAGATCATTTCTTCAAGGAGGTTTTTCCAATATCTATGTAAGATCCACAACTTTGATAACAGTCTCATTACACTATGTGCCAGTTCATAGATGAACTTGCACTATTGCAGTTTGTCCTTTGCTGTATCATTACTTGATTATTTTGTTCCCACCAAAGTATAACTTCATGATGGACAGTGTCTTTTTGATCACAATTGTATCCCTAGTACTTAGCATGATGTCCAGAATAAGGCAGATGTTTAAGAACTATTTATTGGATGAATAAATTCTGCTATATTTCTTTCTGTCTGCTATTTTACATAGTTATGTTCATACTGGATACATAACTTTGTATTTTGTTCTTTTCCTTTGACTATTTTGTCATAGCCTTTCCCTGCTATTGCAAATCTCTCCAAGCCATATTAGCACAATGTGGCTGATAAAAACAC